GAAGACAACGCTCATACGAAAGGAAAATTCATGAGAAACTCACTCACAATCTGAAGAATTCGCAGTGCCACAGCAAAAAACAAAGAGGACGATCAATACCGTCGCTATCATTGCTAATCAATGACGAATGAAGAAATTAGAGAAATGAAGTTGCGGGCGGTAACACGTCTGGGTGGCAAGGCCGGTCCACCACAACGAACCAGCCGCCCATTCGCGCTCGAACAATGAGCGATATGCCCTCAGCATACAAATAGTACATACAGTCAGGCCTGTCTGTATCAAAGGTGCCCCCATTAGACACTATTATTAGAAAGCATTTGAAAAAATCTTCTTTGCTGGGCATAGGACCGTGGGTGCTGGAAAATCATCACCGAAGCCATCCTTAATTTATCGCAATCGCCCATCAACGGTCCGCATTCAAAAATGTTTATGGTTGAGACAGCTGTAGGTTACTGTCTCGTCAGCGCGCTCACTACCCTCTCTTTCAAAACAGCGGCAGCTGGAATGGGTTCAAACAACAATGAACCCTCTCCTCTACAGAGGAATATGAGCTCCGCGGTCCTAATCTGTTCGCCTGAATGCCTTATTGATTCAAACCAGTAACTGTTTTCACTTACGACATTCATCAGTACTTCGTGTTTCAATGCATAAAAAGGAAAACATTTGCCGCTGATAAACCCCTTTTGGGATGCGGCACGCATTCTACTTCCATTTGTACATTCGCAGTGGCATTTGAATGCGATGTGGCCTATACAATGACTTGCGGGGGCCAGCCGATGTTCAAGTCAGTGTTTTTATCCTCCCAGACAAGTCTGGTACCAATTAACCGACCCCGGAGGGATGGAAGGCTTGGTTGGCCCGGGCGACTCACGACCCAGGATTTGATCCCGGACCGCTCGCGTGGTAAGCGCGCCACTTGTCACGCACCACTTCCGCCCTTGCTCTAACATTGAATAAAACAGCGAATCAGAGACACGTCTTACTGATCAAAACTATTCCGAATACTATGTAATGACCCTTAGGACCCTGAGCCCAGTCCCAGCTCCAGAATAATGGCCATGCGTTTTGGCGCGATAATGAACGATTTATAAAACATGGAATACGATGTCGCATCCACATTTTATCAGATCTTCCAATCTATATTGCCACAGGAATGGCCAATTATAATCGACAGCTCATAAGTACCAAGATAGGCTTAGCTTCCGAGGATGCTCGGTCTCTCACCTCCGTGATCTACTCTGCCAGGCTGATCCGGCCAGCGTGATAGGACGAGATATCGATCTGATATCTGCCAGGTTCGATATCGAGCGCGCCTTTTGGCGCCAGAACCTGGCGGGAAGAGTCCACGCGGGCCGAGCCGGCAAATTGTTTTCCAGTTTGCTTCGGTGAGCGTATGCTCACGGTCTCCACCACGGAACCACCGTCGTCGACGTCCAGGACGTCGACTATGGTTCTCGTCTTGACTCTCTTCGCTGCCTATTCTTGTGGCAGC